TTAAAAAACGTAAACAAAGACGTGCCCCCCAAAAAAGCAACATAACATCGACAATAAACAAAACGTAAATACTGCTCCATAAAACAAACAAGCAAGCAACACTTATGCAGTTTGGAGCACCTTCCTTCTTTCCTATCAAACATTTATCGTCCTTATCTCTCCTCCTTTTAGTGTTTGTTACCCTCTTGTAATCCTTCTAATCCTCGGCAGTTATATGACCTTATTGAGTTGCAAGTGCCATAAAACTCTTACTAAAACTAGACCAAAAAAACAAACAAACAACAAAAGACAAAAACCAACCCATACCTTTAATAAACGAAAAGACCCAAAAAGAAAAAAAAAAGTAGCCCCGTAGTTTCCTTTCCTTTGTGGACGACTGAAGCGCACGTGTGACCGTGAACCACCAGCTGCAGCGGATCATGTGAACGGAGTAAAGGCAGACGCTTTTTCAACAGGGAGGGACACAGACATGGGAACTTTGGCCTTATAATTGTGACGGCGTAGATGTTGTGCCTCTTCTAACACCATTTAGGTTATTTTAAAGGCAAAACGTTTAGATTTAACGAACGTCCGCCATGTCTCTGATAGGACTGAGCCAAGTTAGAGGACAGCCTTATAAAAAAAGGAAGAAAAATCCGCTAATTATTTAAGTTCAGGAACGCCGTATTGGGAATTCGAACCAGGGTCATCATATCCATAGCCCAGTAAACTGAGCTTACCGGTAACCCCCATTTTGGGTCTCTCCTTCAGCTAAATTGGTAGCATATTGGGCTGTGATGTGGAATACCTTTGTTCAGAGTCTCTCACAGGACGTCACTGGGCAGGCTGTTGTTGTTGTTGTTGTTGTTGTTGTTGTTGTTGTTGATATCGACCTTTAATAAATGCTTCAACTGGGCCCCCTTAGCAACAGAACTAGCGTCGACTCACCCAGGAAAGCTGTCTTTTACACACATTGTTCATGTTAAGTGTTTCAGGTGTGGTCTTTTACTGACTCCGTAATTAGTGTTTCCATCAAATCACCAATTTCTGTGTATGGAGAGGGTCCTGCCTCTTAAATAAACTGCTAGTAGTATAAATAGGAGGGACGTTAAACTTATACCATTTCACAATTTTCACATAAAAAGTGACAATGTACAGTTTACGCTTTCAAATGATATTCCATCATGTCTTTTCATTCCATCGTATGTATTGAGAAACCAATTAGCCAAGTAGTTTTGCAACAATTTTAAAACGTCCAGATGTGTCTATTGATTTAAATTATGTCGAAGGAGGCGTAAAAATACCCACATTAAAAAAAAGTGTGTTCCCGCCTCGCTGCAAGAATTTCTTTTTCTCTAAACTAGATGGAATTTGGACGCAGTCGCCCCAACTCTCAGCCAGCGCTACGTTCTATGTTCTTCTATTGAGCTTTGTGTCTGTGTCCACTCAATGCCGTGCTGAGCAAACTGGTATTGTAGAAGACAACAGCTCGCTCGCCCCCGAACATGTTCCGTTTCTCTGTTTACTTTTCTCATTTATTTCTTCCTTGCTTGAGGATACACACAACTAGTTGTGCGGATGGTTGGAGGGCGCCACTAGCTGGTCCTGCTTCTTAATTTCCCTTCTGTTGTTCATGTCTCTCTTACTTTGTCCTCAAAAGGACTCAACTTCGATGGGCTGTCCATTCCGTTAGAACGCTTGATTTCAGAATTCCAAAGGCAGTGTTCTATTCCGAACTGTCCCGGGAGAAGCGTAAAGTTGGCGCACCAAAAAAAAGCAGCGCTACAACGACATCCTGAAGATATCTCCGAAGGACTTTCTTCCTAAATCCTTCAATATCGGAAAGCCTTGCTCCTGACAGGCCTAGTGGAGAGCAGCAGTTACAGTTGTCAGCAAATCATGAGGCTTCATGAATACGACATTCTGAAACCAAGAGAGAAGTCCGCAAGTTGCACACACCCACAAATAGAAGCGGAGCCTGTAAGATGTTTCAAATGTAGCAAACTTTTCTCCACCATAACTGGTCTCACCGGCCACATCAGAAGCCACAAGTCATCGTTACCTTTAATTCTTCTAATTTTTCTATTTCCCTTGAGCAATTTCCTCTGTGGAAGTATTGGTCGTCGAACTATTATTATTATTATTATTATT